GAGTTACTGAACTTTTTCTCCCCTTCAATTTATCACTTTTGCAATTTACAGGAAATTTATCGTATGTGACTCACACTTAGTCATTTTCTCAGGAAACACATTTTAAAAATAATTGTGTGGTTTTTTCCTGGAGAAATCTGGCAACTGAAAAATGTATATAACCTGCATCCCCTCCCCAACAAACCAAACAAATAGTTTCATTCCATTTAATCCTGAGTTGGAGCAGAGTTCTGTGAAGTAACACTGAACACTATTATCAAAATTTTCATAGATCTCAAACAGATAATTATATTTAACTTTTCACCATTCTCACCTGCAAACAGCCATGCACTCTTACTGGAAACTATGGTTTGACCACCAAACACTTAAATATGAAGCAAAACAAATGAACTGCGAGGTAGCTGAATTAAAGTGCAATTTGTCCTTGGCCAGTGTGGGTCAGTTGGTTAGGCGTCACCCCATGCATCACAAGATTGCTGGTTTGCTTCTCAGTCAAGGCACATGCCCTGGTTGTGTGCTCCATCCCTGGTTGGGGGTGTGCAGGAGGCAGCCAGTCCAGGTTTCGCTCTCACATTGATGTTTCTCTCTCTCCTTCTCTCTCTCTCTCTCTCTCTCTCTCTCTCTCTCATAAATAAATAAATAAATAAATAAATAAATAAATAAATAAATAAAATGCAATTTGTCTTGTAAACTCTCTGATTTTGGAACAAATTTTGCCCTCTTCAGGCCAAACAGAAACAAACAAAAAAAAGTGTGGTTCCAGAGTTGCTTCTTTTTGTAAAGCTTCCCAGGCTACTTGCAAATGGAATGATAGTGTAGCACATGCTTTTCTATATCAGTTCCTTCCATATTGCAATCCCTACGACGACCATGCAGTTCTCTAGGCAAGTAGGAACATTTCTTTGATGGGAAGAGACAGAGACACCCAAGTGCGGTGATTTGCCTGGAGCTACTTGGTATGGAGCAGGAAACCCCGGGTAAGACTCTGCCTGATGGTGATCTAGAGGTCAAAGGTGTTGGTCCTAGGCTCAGCTGTTACCATTCTTGATTCTGGACAGTCTCACACTTGCAGGGGAAGGAGGAAGACAAACTGTAACAGTTAGAATTCTGTTGTTCCAAGTGACAGGAACCAAACTGATCCAGAAAAGGGAAGTTGGCAATTCCAGGGGGAGGTCAGGCATGGATTGATGAAGGAGGTCAAGTATGTCACCAGGGCCTAGCTTTTCTTTTATCTTTTGGTTCTCCATCCTCTGAGTTGCACTATTCTCAGGCAGGCCTTTTCGCTATGGTAAGGGCTTGGTTGCTGCAGTTTTAAACCTTTCCATCATTTCAAATCCAGTGAAAAAGAGCAAAAATGTTTTTCCCCAGAGTCCCAGCCTGGGTTCTATTGTGTCTCATTGGCTCTTATTGAGTGGACTAGTCAACATGACCTCGTATTGGACCAGGCCTAGGTCCCATGCTCTACCACTTTGACTAGGCCGGGACAACGAGAAGTAGGATCCTGGAGGAGCCTTTAGGGACCTTCCCCCTTCCCCCAACACACACACCTTGGCTTCTTTAGTAGGATGACAGGCTTTGCTTTACTCTCCCCTCTTAAATTTCACACAGTGTAGGAGCAATACTTTTCTGTGTGGAAATCAGTGTATGTGAGAAAAGAGGAATGGATGCCGTGTCAGGAAAAAAAAAATCCACTACCTGTATGTTTTAGTAGCCTGTTCATGCTTGAAAATGTCAATTGTTAAGAGAACTTTGCTTCAGATTTGGCTTCCAGAGCCGTGCCAGCCATTCCAGCTGTGAGGGAATGAAGCTGGAAAAGGCTGCAGAGGCTGTGTCCCGCTCATAAACGCCAGGCTCAACCTCAGCAAACCACCTTCATCATCACTCAATGAGCCAGTTAGCCCAAGAGACCCACTAATTCCCTGGCATGTGTGCAGCGTAGCCGGAGTGGCTCAGTGGTTGAGCTTTGACCTATGAACCAGGAGGTCACAGTTGGATTCCCCACTCAGGTTCTATTGTGTCTCATGCCTGGGTTGTGGACTCGATCCCCAGTGTGGGGCATGCAGGAGGCAGCTGATCAATGATTCTCTCTCATCATTGATATTTCTATCTCTCCCTCTCCTGTCCTCTCTGAATTCAATGAAACAAATATTTTTTTTTTAAAAAAAGAATTTCATGATCTAGAACCAAGATGCTTCTTTCACAATCCAAAGCAGAAACAGTGCAGTGTTTCTAGTCTATAACCATTAGCTTAATTAGATCGCTTCATTAGACTACCCAATGACAACTGGCAAATTAGCATCAATTATTTATTTCCCTTTGAATAATAATTTCCTTTGAATTCCAAAGCAAATTCAAATCATGAAGATAAATTATTCTGGGAAAATGAGGTGAATAGGAGTACAGTATAATTTAGGAGTCCAAAAGTATTTATGATGTTTTTCACGCTACAGGTTTTCATTGTATTCATATTATCAAACTTTATAATAGTGAGATTATTATATATGAGAAGAATTTAGTTTTATCAGTGAGAATAGGCCAAAGGAAAGGAAAATTCTTAGTAAGGAAAATGTTTTGGCTATGCCAGAATTTTATAACCCTTAATTTTTAAGTCATCTAACATTCCAGAATTGTTTCCACATTACACTTAAGTTAGTTAAAGCAGGCGGCATTGTTGTGAAATTCCTTAAGCCATAAACAAAGCAGAAGCTTGCAAAGAACCCTGTTCTTCTAAGGCCCAGCTAGACAGGCATGAGCAGAGTAGGAATGAGAGGCCAGGTATGGAATGTGACCAGGTAGAAAGCCTCAGGTGCCTAGCAACAGGCAAAACTGGGAAATCCAGACTCTTGCCCCGAGGGTGGCTTTTCCTCCTAGTTTATCGCTTGTCCTGTGGTTTAGATTCCCTGAATTTTCACAGCGATGGTCCTGTGGCTTAGACCCTCCCCGACCTTTCCTCCCCAACATGCTGCTGGTCTGTGGTAGACCCCCTTCGAGGAGGAACAAGAGGGCCAGAGAAAAGCCTCACGTGAGTCCCATACAAGCCTTTGCATGGCCACTCCCTCAAGCATTAAGCCCTCAAGACAATGAGGTCTGACCTGCATCAAATAATCTTAGGAACACAGCCTCTGATCTGTTGACCCGCAGAGATGGAGTTTTGGTCAAACTAGAGATAACATCTAGGCCTCAGTTGTGTTTCAGCTCCAGGCCCAGAAAAGCAGCAAGGCCAGGTGTGGAGACCCCATGGCTTACATCAGGACCAGATGCAATGACTAATGACTGGCTGCCCCGGCACCAACCAGTTAGTAGAGACCACAACCTCCACACCCCGCCCCCGCCCCAAAGGAAACAGCTGGAAAGCTGATGAAGTTACTATTGAGCCCCCCTTCTATAGGGTCTCCTGTAAGAGCCCTGCCTTTAGAGAGTGGAGAAGTGGTCCTCAGGGAGGAGGACCCAGGTGCCCTCTCTCTCTCTTGGGCACACCAGTGCCTTTCCCCCTCTCCTTCCTCCCCCCGACGTGGGTTCTCTCTGCCTTTTTCTCCCCTAAGCTCCAAGGGCCCACACAACCCAGATGACTTACTTCTATCTACCTCTGTGACTTTCTAAATAAACTGTCTCCTTCAATTTAAATTCCTTGGCTCTGAATTCTTTCTTTGCTGAACTCAAGTACTGAGGTTGCTGAACTGAGGTCCAGTACCATTCTGGTGCATTTCACTAACAGCACCATGCTACTTCTGCTTTAAAAAGGTGCCTTTCCTCCTGCCCTGGCTGGGTGGCTCAGCTGGTTGGAGTGTTGTCCCACACACCAAAAGGCTGCTGGTTTGATTCCTGGTCAGGGGACATACCTAGGTTGCAGGTTTGATCCCCAGTCAGGGCACATACGGGAGGCAATCAATTGATGTTTCGCTCTCTCTCCCTTCCTTTCTTTAAAAATCAAAAACATATTCTCTGGTGAAGATGAAAAAAAAATGCCTTTCTCTCTTTGTGTCCCATGCTGATATCAGTGCTAACGGAGAGGTTCAAACTTTTGTAGTGGATGTTGAGATTTACATGATTAGGGTTCATAGTTGCAACAGCCAAAGCTTACACTGTATGATTTATTCTCACAGAATTCCTGGTAATGATGTAGAACTAGGCTTGCAAACCGAGTGGGAGCCAGGAAGGGCGGTAGCAGGATGGACCACAACCATAAACACGCCTCAAGCTCAGTCTAGTGAGGACCCTTTTGCCACTGCAACTGAGCATTCTGCTGCCACTGGAAAGTGGTTGCCGTTGGATGAGAATTGTAGGAAAAAATACTTAAATGATTAATAAACAATGTATAATTTTTTAGTGCAATATGTCCCATGCAATCAATATTTGGGACATATACTAAAAAATACTAAACAATTATTTGTTTTTTAATATGAAATTTGAACTTACCATAATTGGGTCTTTGGTATTTTCATTTGCAATCCTACATTGAATGTACCATTGCCATTGCCATTGCTATCCCTGGAAACAAGCCACCACTGCCACCCATGTGGATTTTCCAGGAGGTTCCTGGCTTTTTGCATCGTGGGTTCTCAAAGGAACCTGACTGAGACAGTACGTGTGATCCGTGGAGTTTCTGTTACACGCCCCTGCTCCAGCGGCAACAGAGGCCAGAAGGCTGATGGTGTCTCTGTTGTCTATGTTATCAATGGAAGGTGGCCTCTGTCTTCTACTATGTCTTAAATTTCTCAGACATAGGGATGGGGCAGTAGTATGTTTCAGTGATTGAAGGAGAAAAAAAGCTAAATGCCTACCCTGTTTTCTCTTTAACACATGCTTCTTCCTATTGCCTAGGGGCCAGGCACAGTAATATAATTCTCTTTGCCCGTGACTGGTTCAAGAACCCAGGTCTCAGCCAGTTCACACATGGCATCTCCTTGATCACAAGGGGTTGTTTGAGGATTGGGCACGTGACTTAATCTGGGCCAAGGGGATGAGGGGAAAGTTCGCTAGAGGAGTCTAGAGGAACTTACCTTATCCTGAGGTCTGTAGTAAAAAACGATGATCTCACCTTCCTTCAGATGCTGTTTTGTGCAGTCGTGAGGCTGAATATTCTGCAGCCTTTTGCTTCCAGCCTGAGATGAAGAACAGAGGGAGAAAATGAGGTCAGAAGGCATCGAGGTAACTGCAGAGAAGTAGAGCTGGAACCACTGGATTAAGGCCTCAGTGCCTCTCGCACATCTGGATGCCCAGGTACCTGCACCGATCCGTTTGTGTTTCGGCAACAGGGTTGGGTGTTCTTATACTTGGAGCCAAAACAACCCAACTGAAAACAGAATTCATGAATGCGGGAGCCACCCCTGTAAGCTTACCGTTTGTGGAGTTCTGAAAGTTCAGCATAATGTGTTCTGATCGAACTAGAAATTATGGCTGTTATGAAATTTGTGAGGCGAAGATTAGCATTTAAATGAATGCAACACAAATAACTGGCGATTCGCTTCATTGGGCCAGGGAAGAAGCAGTTTACCATTATTGCCAGATTGCTGTTCTTTTTGCATGAGTGCTGGGGTGAGCCAGCCTCTCAGAGAACCCTCTGAGGAGAGAAACGTATGTAAATTCCTGGAAAGGCCTAGGGCACAAACATAAACAGGATTTTAGAAACTACCTTCCCTCCTTCATTCTTCATTGTGGGGATGGGGGACAGCTACGGTGTTGACCTGCCTAGCAACCCTCCCCCTTCTTTGGTTAGTAACACCCTGCTTGTCCTTTGGAGAATTCTCTCTCCTCCATTCCCTGTAATCCTGTCGGACTAGCCATCTAGGCACCACAGCTGCTCCTTATCCCTAAACCCAATGGTAGGCATGTGACTTCAGGCTAAATTCAGAAGAACTCAGCGCTCCAGGGCAGTGAAGCAAGAGGGAAACAGCACTGGTGTGATCGTAAAGGGGCCTGGTTTTGCCCTTTTGAGGCTTGATTCTGCTCACACCTCTGCCCCTAGTGCAGTGATGGCAAACCTATGACACGCGAACTCATTTTTTGGGTTGATTTTTCTTTGTTAAATGGCATTTAAATATATAAAATAAATATCAAAAATGTAAGTCTTTGTTTTACTATGGTTGCAAATATCAAAAAATTTCTATATGTGACACGGCACCAGAGTTAAGTTAGGGTTTTTCAAAATGCTGGCACGCCGAGCTCAAAAGGTTCGCCAACACTGCCCTAGTGGCTTTGGGCGAATTTCTCTTGCATGTTGCCAAAAACCTTAGCTGATACTCTCAACCTAACAATCCTCAAACACAACTTAGCCTCTATTCGGGAGTTGCATTTTCAATTTTTAGTAGGCATGTGTGACTATAAGCCTGATATAAACCTGTTTGTAATGTCTATCGTGTGCCTAAATTATTGCATAATCAATAACTAACAAAACCTTTACAGGGAACTAAAGTATGGAAAATTAAAGTGTGTTTTTAAGGTTAAGAACCCACTTGTATAGCACTTACTGTGTCTTAGACATTGTTTCTTTGTTTAATCATCATTATAATCCAGTAATTATAATCATCATTAAATACCATCATTATCCCCATTTTACAGATTTTGAAACTGGAGCACAGAGAGGTTAAGTAACATTCTCAAGGTCACACAGCTAGACAATGGTGAACTTGCGATTCAAACCATGGCAGTCTGACTCCAGTCCATGCTCTTCTCTGCTGTGTAAAATCTGGCATCATTAGAATACTGAGACTTAAACAACAAAATTGACTTCTCATGAATAAGATCCGTTATAACAGGTCTTAGTGATAGGATGCCTTCTAGCCCAGAAGCAAGAAAGATCAACAGAGTTGGCTGAAGCTCCTGGATTTCAACTTTCACCTTTGAGGCAAACGCAAACTGCTTAGGCTTTCCAAGCACAAAAACCCTCATCTAATTAGTTAGCAAACACGAACTAAGTCCAAACACCTGCTACTGTTTTTCTTTCACTGTTGCCAGGTGCTCCATGAGCAGCCTTGGATCAATAAGTAATTACAATGGAAGCTAAATGATAAAATTAATTATATGCCTTTCACTTATTGATTTCCATTAAAATACCCCATCAGACTGCGGTATTTTAAAGGCTCCCATAGCAAAGGGGAGAGCAGAGGACCAAAGCCTTTCTTACAGCTGACTCAGCGACGAGTCCTATCCCCTCCACAGGGAGAGTTCTCCCATCTCACCATCAGAAACGCTGGTCAATATCCCTGGAGGGACCCACCCATTCATTCGATGAAGTGTACTGAGTCCCTGCCAAGCGCCAAGCACTGCCCTGGGCACTGGGGTTATGGCGGAGAACAGGCAGACGACAATCCTCGCCCTCACGGTGCTGGCGTTCTAGTGGGGAGTTGTGGTTCCACAGCCACATAATAACTGAGAAAGCCTGACTTCCTCCTGATTGTTTTCATGACTCTGATGAATGGAAGAAGGAGTTCACCTGAGGGCTGTGCTGAGCTGTGCATCTGTGCAGCGCCAGCTGGCCGGGTCCTGCCGGAGGTGCCCCAGGCAAGGACACTGTGGCTAAAGACTGCCCGGCAGAGGCCACCATGTCTGCTGGGAGATCGTGAGAATGTATGGTGTGCCCAGGGTTTCCCATGAATAAACCAACGCACTTGTTTATTCTAACACACATATATTCTAACGCACTGAATTCTCACAACCACCTGACTTCTGACGGCAGGAGCACTGCGTCCCCGAGCCTGCTGCCTTGGACTCGTCTTTCTTCTTTCATCCCCCTTCCCAAAGGGGTACCTTCCCTTCACCCCACACGCTGGATGCGAGCACCTCGCCTGAGGACTAGAAACAGACTGGGCCAAGCATCCATGGATTCTTCTCAAAATACCAAACAGCCTGTGATTTCAGAGTACATAGTTAGTTTCAGGAGGAAAATGGCTCCAGCTTGTGAAAAACAACTTACATGGATCCCACTGGTAAGACCAGAACTTGGGAAACTGTGAGGCGTACAAGCACCGTCGTCTGATGATGTGGCCGTTGTTATCT